TCTAAACCGGTTACAGACGGGCTGGATGTTTTGCTGCCCCGCCCTGACACAGGGACGAGACGTTCTGGTTATGCCGAGCCAGTGTAGGGAGTCAGCAGGGCCACTTGCTGACCCGCACTGGTACAGGCCCATGGACCCTAGCGGCACTAGAGATGAATGAGTCTGCCCCAGCAGACTTGTAGCTTCCATCTCCCCTGTCCCTAGAGGTCATCATTAGGAGACCAGGCATGCCACCCCCATCCCCATGACAGTCCCATTAAACTCCGGGATGGGGCCTGATGAAAGGGTTCCCTTGTCCTTGGGGAAGACTGTTATCCACACCCCTCCCTGTAGGGACCACAGATGGTGCTTGGTCCTGCCCTGAGAGCAGGGGAAGGGAGCTTGTGGAATCTCTATCGCTGGAAATATTGAAGAGCAGGTTGAGTAGACATCTACCAGGAATGGTCTAGATGGGGCTTGGTCCTGCCATGAGGGCAGGGGACAGGAGCTTGTGGAATCTCTATCGCTGGAAATATTGAAGAGCAGGTTGAGTAGACATCTACCAGGAATGGTCTAGATGGGGCTTGGTCCTGCCATGAGGGCAGGGGACAGGAGCTTGTGGAATCTCTATCGCTGGAAATATTGAAGAGCAGGTTGAGTAGACATCTACCAGGAATGGTCTAGATGGGGCTTGGTCCTGCCATGAGGGCAGGGGACAGGAGCTTGTGGAATCTCTATCGCTGGAAATATTGAAGAGCAGGTTGAGTAGACATCTACCAGGAATGGTCTAGATGGGGCTTGGTCCTGCCATGAGGGCAGGGGACAGGAGCTTGTGGAATCTCTATCGCTGGAAATATTGAAGAGCAGGTTGAGTAGACATCTACCAGGAATGGTCTAGATGGGGCTTGGTCCTGCCATGAGGGCAGGGGACAGGAGCTTGTGGAATCTCTATCGCTGGAAATATTGAAGAGCAGGTTGAGTAGACATCTACCAGGAATGGTCTAGATGGGGCTTGGTCCTGCCATGAGGGCAGGGGACAGGAGCTTGTGGAATCTCTATCGCTGGAAATATTGAAGAGCAGGTTGGGTAGACATCTACCAGGGATGGTCTAGTTGGGGCTTAGTCCTGCCATGAGAGCAGGGGATGGGAGGTTGTGGAATCTCCATCGCTGGAGATATTGAAGAACAGGTTGGGTAGATATCGACCAGGGATGGTTTAGACAGGGCTTGGTCCTGCCAGGCACCTGGACTTCATGACCTGTCAAGATCCCTTCTAGTTCTAGTGTTCTATGATTCTATACACATCTACGAAGGATGGTCTAGACCATGCTTGGTCCTGCCATGAGGGCAGGGGACAGGATGTTGTGGAATCTGTATCAGTGGAGATATTGAAGAGCAGGTCAGATAGACATCTACCAGGGATGGTCTAGATGGGGCTTGGTCAGACACTTGGCGCCCCTTTTGAAATGTAACGGCGACCCATATTTGGGGCCTGACCCATAGGTTGGGAAACTCTGGTCTAGATCATCCCTGGTAGATGTCTACCCAACCTGCTCTTCAATATTTCCAGCGATAGAGATTCCACAATCTCCCGTCCCCTGCCCTCATGGCAGGACCAAGGTGGCTTTTAAGGAGCCGTTCACACATTTTTTTGAATTGCCCTGGGTCACCAAGTTTTCCTGAATTGTCAAAATGGTTCCCACCTGGAAAAGGTTGGGAACCGCTGGTCTAGATGGTGCTTGGTCCTGTCGTGAGGACAGGGGACAGGAGGTTGTGGAATCTCCATCTGTGGAGATATTGAAGAACAGGTAGGACAGACATCTACCAGGGATGGTCTAGACGGGGCTTGGCCCTGTCGTGAGGACAAGGGATGGGAGGTTGTGGAATCTCCATCACTGGAGATATTGAAGAGCAGGTTGGGTAGACATCTACCAGGGATGGTCTAGATGGGGCTTGGTCGTGCCGTGGGGACAGGAGATGGGAGGTTGTGGAATCTCCATCATTGGAGATATTGAAGAGAAGGTTGGGTAGACATCTACCAGGGATGGTCTAGATGGGGCTTGGTCGTGCCGTGGGGACAGGAGATGGGAGGTTGTGGAATCTCCATCATTGGAGATATTGAAGAGAAGGTTGGGTAGACATCTACCAGGGATGGTCTAGATGGGGCTTGGTCGTGCCGTGGGGACAGGAGATGGGAGGTTGTGGAATCTCCATCATTGGAGATATTGAAGAACAGGTTGGGTAGACATCTACCAGGGATGGTCTAGGTGGGTTTGGTCCTGTTGTGAGGACAGGGGACTGGACTTGACGACCTCTCGAGGTCCTTCTCATTCTAGGATTCTATGAGTCCCACCACGGAGCGGGCATGGTGGGCACACCCTGGTTGGATGTGGGGGAGGGTGCCTAGCAGTGTTTGGGCCACAGCTTGGTTTGGCCTTGGTGCAGGAGAAATCACTTCTGACGGCCACAAGCCAAAGAAGTCAATGGAAAGTCTCCCCCTGATGTGAATGGGTTGAGGGCCCTCACGAGTCACAAGTCACTGGACCTACCTGGCCTCACCAAGGTCTCCCAGACCAAGCTGCCGTCCTCTTGGCCCTTCACCTTGAGCTGGATTTCCTTCTTCATTTCCCGGGTGTAGATCTCCACAAACGATTGCTGCTCCCCGGGGCTCCAGTAGCAGAAGTCCAGTTGCTGAAGCAAAAGGGAGAAGGCGTCGGGAGACTCGTCCTCCGGCACCAAGAGCGGGAACGGACAGCCCCAGGCTCCAACCATGAGGGACTCGCCGGGGTACCAGCCAGGTCCGGGTTAGACAGAGGCTCTGGCTTATGAAAGACCAGCTGCCTTGGACTTTCTGTACCCAATGGGCGAGGCCTCCATCAACCCCAGGAGTTGGGAACCACCACGGCTCATCCATCCTAGGCATCCCTGAAAGTTCCCAGACCTGAGCACGCAAGATCCTCAGGGGCTAAAGCCACGAGCCTCTCCCACAAGGGCGAAAAGCCAACGGACTCTCGGCAAAGGCGGTAGAGTCGCCGTTGACATCTCCGTCGTTCCGAAGCACACTGTGTGGGGCATACAACCTCCACACTGGGAAGGACGGGGTTAAAGGGCAGCACTGGGCCCAGCTAGCTCCGCCCCTCCAACCCTGAAGAGCACGCACCTCTTGGGGACAGGGCTGGGAGGCCCGGTGGGGGCTGACGGTTTGGGTCCCTTTTCCGTTTTTGTTCATGCCTGGGAGAACGGCGGAGGACAACAGGGAGGGTCTACAACATGGGTTCCCAAACTGAAGGGTGTGCCCCTTGGGGGGGCCATGAAGAAATTGGAGGGGGGCTCAAGGCAACCCAGCCCCCCCCCATCAATTGCCCCCCCTCAAGAAAGAGCTCAGTAGGTCTGTCTGCTCAGCCACCAGAACATGTGCAGCTCGGGCTGGCTGGGGCAGATTTCAAAATGGCCCCCTTAAAAGGGCAATGCCTACTCTGTTCTTAAAAGGGCAGGACAATGTTCTTTTTTTCTTTCTCACGTTTTGCTATTTTTTTAGCGGGAGGCTGACCAGCCCATCAAGGACCCTACTATGGGCACGTTTAAACGACCTCCCTCTAAAGAGGGATGTAAACGAGACCGATGGAAATTGCAAGTGAAGCCAAGCTTTGAATCTGCCGCCCTTCGTTTGCATAACGGCGGCCGGACGTTCTTTCGAAAACTGGTATTTCGAAAGTGAAACTGCTATCTAGGCGGGTTCTTTCGGGGGGGAAAAAAAAACCCCTTTCGAAAGAACCGTAACGCCCCAAAAAATGAACTTTCCTGGTTCTTTCGGAAAAGGATTTTTTTTCGAAAGAGCCGAGACTAGATGGCAGTTTTACTTTCAAAAAGCCCTTTCTCGACAGAACGCGCGGTTGTGCCGTTATGCAAATGAAGCGTGGGAAATTCACATCCCGGCTTCATTTGCAATTTTGATCTGTCCGATTTACATCCCTCTTTCGAAATAGTCTAGATGTAGCCTGTAATTCCAAATTGAACCCTTTTCCCGGGGACAAGACGCACCAGTGAAGGATCTGATGTACTCCGAGCGCTAACGCTCACTCGGAATCCTCGTCCGGTGGATTCTGAGGATCCCAATGTTTCCTTCCTCCATGCTGGTCGGGGAGAGGACCACTTACCGCTGGCGTGATCTCCAGATTTTCCAAACCGGACACCTGGTACCGAGACCCAAAGTACAGAGGGTTGGTCTGAGGAGGTTTGGGCACATGCGTTGATTTCCACGTTGTTTCTTCTTCTTCAATGGCCTGTGAACGCAAAACATTGTCATACCTGAGGAACAATTGACCTTTGTCAATGTAGCCCTCTGGTGAGTGTGTCTTTTAGGCCCTTTGCCCGCGTATGTCACCAATTCTTCAGTGGGCGAACGCCGTATCTCTTAACCCTCAACTCTCCCAGGAAATAAAATGGGTGGAAAGTGATCACAGTGGGAGAAGAGCTGGGTTTTGTTGCTTGACCAAACCCTGCCACCCATTTCCAACCTCAGATGGCCCAGAGAGAGTGAACACGACGGAACCATCAAGTGATCCCACCGCTGCTACCCATTTCCAGCCTCAGATGGCCCAGAGGGAGTGAACACGACGGAACCATCAAGTGATCCCACCGCTGCTACCCATTTCCAGCCTCAGATGGCCCAGAGGGAGTGAACACGACGGAACCATCAAGTGATCCCACCGCTGCTACCCATTTCCAGCCTCAGATGGCCCAGAGGGAGTGAACACGACGGAACCATCAAGTGATCCCACCGCTGCTACCCATTTCCAGCCTCAGATGGCCCAGAGGGAGTGAACACGACGGAACCATCAAGTGATCCCACCGCTGCTACCCATTTCCAGCCTCAGATGGCCCAGAGGGAGTGAACACGACGGAACCATCAAGTGATCCCACCGCTGCTACCCATTTCCAGCCTCAGATGGCCCAGAGGGAGTGAACACGACGGAACCATCAAGTGATCCCACCGCTGCTACCCATTTCCAGCCTCAGATGGCCCAGAGGGAGTGAACACGACGGAACCATCAAGTGATCCCACCGCTGCTACCCATTTCCAGCCTCAGATGGCCCAGAGGGAGTGAACACGACGGAACCATCAAGTGATCCCACCGCTGCTACCCATTTCCAGCCTCAGATGGCCCAGAGGGAGTGAACACGACGGAACCATCAAGTGATCCCACCGCTGCTACCCATTTCCAGCCTCAGATGGCCCAGAGGGAGTGAACACAACAGGAAACCATTAAGTAATCCCACCGCTGCCACCAATTTCCAGCCTTTGACAAACTATTTTACCTTCTTCAGTGAGTGGTCATTAGGTATCAGGTAGAGGTGGAGCGTGACGTCTGCCATGCTGAGCGTCCGGTAGATCAGCACAAGGGAATGGATGGGGATAAATGTTAAGGCCGACCGTAGCTTTCTCCAAAGTACGCCAAGCTGGGAGAAGCTGGGATTCTTCAGGACGGCAAAAAAGCGGTTGATGCTCGTGGGTCGCTCAGGGGTCATCCGGCCAGCTTCAAAATGGGCAATGCGGCACAAGCTTTCGTCGGCTCCGTCTGCAAAAGAAACCGCAAAGACTTGGGGGCTGGAGCCAGGCAAGCCGGGGGCTGCCACTTCCGGTCCCAGTTGTCAGGTTTAACGTCCCCACCAGCATTGTTATCGGTAATGATGACTCAACCCTGGATCTAAGGATTATCCCACTAATGTCGGCTCTGTGTTCAGCGAGTCCTAAATTCTTGGCCTTAACAGCTTCCTATGCCAGAGAGTTCCGCAGTCGAATTACAGGTCATAGGAAAAACGATGTCCATGGATCAATTTTCGGTTGGCCACCTTTTCATTTCATCGCATGCCCCTTGCTCTGTGGGACAGGAGAACTGAAGTCTTCCATCCCTACGATCTGTGTTTCATAGTCTTTTATCCTTCCTCCTCTTCGCTGTCTCCTTTACGACGGATTATCCCAAAGGCACAATAATCGTCTCCGTATTCATTTCCAACTCAAGACCTTTCCCTTTTATTTTGCATTTGTCCTCATTATATTTGTCGTCCTGTTAATCACTCACCTACTGGAGTTAGATCCCTCAGAAATTCCTCCTAGTTTTCTGGCCCTGACCAGCCTCGATAACGTGTCCCTTTGTGACAGGGTGGGCATACCTCACAGAGGGCCAGGAGGGATTAAGAACTTGTGAGCAGAAGCTCCGCCCCCTAGCCGCACTGGGCACGCTCCAACGGCTGGAACAGTATAAAAGGGAGCAGCTCCACTCTGCTACTGAGGTTCCCCGAAGCAACAGGGCAGGACGTGGTATCTCCCGCCCCCGTGAGCTCAGTGTGTGGCGGCGGGCTTCTCTCTGGAGCGCGTGGTGTATTACTCCCCCGCTTGGGTCCTGGTGGTGTAGGGTGGGCACAAGCCACCCTGCCGGGTCTACTGCCCCTGTGACTCTCACCGTTAGGCTGTGCTGCCCTGGACTCTAGAGCTTGTTACAGATTGTGGCCATTGGGCCGTACTGCCTCGGGCCGGGACACATTTCTCTACCTCAGCGCTCGCCCCCGATTATTAATAAATATGAAGTTTCACGGGGCCTGATATGACCTTAGGGTTAGCGTTAGCCAACTGCCGATCCATGTGGGTCCTTTGCCTCCTCCCACATAGTTTCTTTAGCGGCCGGGGGGCCTCGCCAGGAGGCGGGGCCTCGGTGGGGGAGAGGAGGAGCAGAGATGGGGCCTCAAAGGCAGGACCAATCCTCACTCGATCCTGAGGGGATTCGAACTGAATTGGGCCAGCCCGCAAAACGAGGAAGAGGAGGGAGAGGCAACCCGGAGCTCGACTTTTTGCTGCTCACAGACCAGACTGACCGGCACCGACCGACCCCCTCTCCCCACCGGTCATAAAAGGGACAGACATAGGGAGAGCTTGGGCGTTTGGATCTGTGTCACTCCCAGGTGACAAGATCCGTTGGGGCACCTTTCCAGCCTTTCCCAGGCTGCCCGCTGCGAAGGAACTTTGTGTTCTAGCAGTTAAAATCTAAGGTGTAATAAGCTCTTCCTATATAACGGGGCGTCTGTTGGCCTGCTGGCCACCCTCTGCGATGGGACCCCGGTCCTAGCAGTAAAGACACGGACGTTAAACCTTTTCTCGGAAAAATACACACACACACTGCCCTGACCGTCGGCTGACAGGGAGGGAGGATGGGACCATGAACTAGAGATCAGGCTTGGACAGCGCTTCTAGGCCGGTGGTCCTTCCAGGTTTTCCGGTGGCCTCACGGAGTCACCACCAACCCCACACGACTTCATTCACTTTATAGAACCGGACGGTTGGACGAGACCTCAGGAGTCATCAAGTCCAGCCCCCTGCCCAAGGCAGGACCAAACCCAACTCAATCAACCCACCGAGGGTTTGGTCAAGCCAGGACTTCAGAACCTCTAGGGATGGAGAGTCCACCTCCCTAGGGAAACCATCCGTGTGGTTCTCCACCCTCGTCGAGAAATCGTTTCCCCTTAATATCCACCCTACACCTCCCCCACCGCAACGTGAGACCGTTGCTCCTCATTCTGCCATCTGCCCCCACTGAGAACAGCCTCTCTCCATCCTCTTTGGAACCACCTGGAAGTATATTTGTAGACACCCCCTTTTTACCAGCCCCCCGGGAGTCGGGGCAAAGTGAGGTTCACACGTATACAAGGCTATCTGTTCACGCTCTCCCCAGTGGCTGTGAAAAGTGAGATGGAGATTGTCGATCCCCTAGAACTGGAAGGGACCTTGAAAGGTCATGGAGTCACAGCAGGACCAAGTACCCTCCCTGACAAATATTTGCCCCAAATCCCTAAATGGCCGCCGTAAGGATTGAACTCACAACCCTGGGTTTAAGCAGGCCAATGCTCAAACCACTGAGCTATCCCTCCCCCCGTCAAGAGCGTTACCCCCCCTCTCATCACCTACACGGAAAGTTCCTGGTGGTCACCTCTGAGAAATGCCATTCTCACATCACATCCTGGAGCGCCTTACCTGTAGATGGTCTTGTTCCTCTCCGGGTCTAGGACAATCTGCGGCGTTACCTCTGGAAGAGTCTAAAATACAGAGAGGAGAGTGGCTTCACCAGGGTAACCTAACGCAAGAACGAGGGGTCACCAAAGGACATGAACAGGCAGCAGGTTTCAAACAAACCAAAGGATGTTTTGCTTTACGCCGCGCACAGCCAACCTGTGGAACTCCTCGCCGGAGGATGGGGTGAAGGCCAGGACTTCAGACAGGGTAACAAAAGGAACTAGCTACACTAGCAGGTTGCAAAGGGAGAAAAGGACGCTTGTCTTAGGGTTGCCAGATAGTTTCGCAAAAAATACTGAGCACGGCAGGGGGAAAAAAATTGGTTCCTCAAAAAAAAAAAAAAAAAAAAAAAGACACGGCTCCTTTAAATCCCAACGCACACCACCTGCCCCCACCAGATGTGGCGGGGGAAGAATGTCCAGGAACCTTCCGTCCGAGAAAAACAGAAAATACTGGGCATGTAACACTTTCTCTTTTTTTTTTTATACCAGGCCAATACCAGACACTTGTCAACCCTAGCATTTCTTCATGCAGCTTGCAGTCAACCTGTGGAACTCCTTGCCAGAGGATGGTGTGACGGCCGGGACTGTCAACCCTAGCGTTTCTTCATGCAGCTTGCAGTCAACCTGTGGAACTCCTTGCCAGAGGATGGTGTGACGGCCGGGACTGTCAACCCTAGCGTTTCTTCATGCAGCTTGCAGTCAACCTGTGGAACTCCTTGCCAGAGGATGGTGTGACGGCCGGGACTGTCAACCCTAGCGTTTCTTCATGCAGCTTGCAGTCAACCTGTGGAACTCCTTGCCAGAGGATGGTGTGACGGCCGGGACTGTCAACCCTAGCGTTTCTTCATGCAGCTTGCAGTCAACCTGTGGAACTCCTTGCCAGAGGATGGTGTGACGGCCGGGACTGTCAACCCTAGCGTTTCTTCATGCAGCTTGCAGTCAACCTGTGGAACTCCTTGCCAGAGGATGGTGTGACGGCCGGGACTGTCAACCCTAGCGTTTCTTCATGCAGCTTGCAGTCAACCTGTGGAACTCCTTGCCAGAGGATGGTGTGACGGCCGGGACTGTCAACCCTAGCGTTTCTTCATGCAGCTTGCAGTCAACCTGTGGAACTCCTTGCCAGAGGATGGCGTGACGGCCGGGACTGTCAACTCTAGCTTTTCTTCATGCAGCTTGCAGTCAACTTGTGGAACTCCTTGCCAGAAGATGGTGTGACGCCCGGGACTGTCAACCCTAGCTTTTCTTCATGCAGCTTGCAGTCAACCTGTGGAACTCCTTGCCAGAAGATGGCGTGACGGCCAGGACTGTCAACCCTACCTTTTCTTCGTGCAACTTGCAGTCAACCTGTGGAACTCCTTGCCAGAAGATGGTGACACGCCCGGGACTGTCAGCCCTAGCTTTTCTTCATGCAGCTTGCAGTCAACTTGTGGAACTCCTTGCCAGAAGATGGTGTGACGCCCGGGACTGTCAACCCTAGCTTTTCTTCATGCAGCTTGCAGTCAACTTGTGGAACTCCTTGCCAGAAGATGGTGTGACGCCCGGGACTGTCAACCCTAGCTTTTCTTCATGCAGCTTGCAGTCAACCCGTGGAACTCCTTGCCAGAGGACGGTGTGACAGCCGGGACTTGAACAGGGTTTCAAAAAAGTGCTAGATACATTCATGAAGATAGGTTCATCCATGGCTATCAGCCAGGATGGGTAGGAATCGTGTCCCTCGCCATCCACCATGTCTTGCATGGTGCCGAGTCACTACCCTTCCCCGCTCAAAGCTATTGATTGTCCTGCCTTCTTGGATCATAACCGCCTATCCTGTAGATTCCCTTCACCCCCCTCCTCCAAACTGATTCCCGATGGAGTGGTAGCTGTCTGGTGTCGCTGGGTCCTGCCGTGTGCCGGGGGGAAGCATTTTGCCAACTTCCATGAAAGCAGCCTTACGCATGTGAAAGTTTTCCAGCCACTGGTCACCAGTCGCCGTGACACTGGGTTTTTCTCCCATCAGGCCCTGGGGAGTCTAGCCCAGAGTTCTAGTGGGTGGCAGAGCTTGCTGGATGATTACCCACAATGCATCCCTGTTCGCGTCAAAGGTATCGGGTCGGTACTCTTCCTCCGAGGACCAAGATTGACTTTGTGAAAATGGCTGCTAAAAAGTCGACTTGAATAAATCGGACCCAGTTTCATACGGGAGACGTACCCTCGGCGGCGAGTCCCAATGCGGAGGTAGACTATTACCTCCTGACTCTCATGGTGCCGGCTACGTTCAGAGACAGGATCCCCCAGGTCTGATCCGGGTCGGTAATCCCCGTTTTCCCGACTTCCATGTTTTTCCCCTTACCTCTCCGACGCATCTCTTGCATTTTTCCTTCAGCAAGGCGCAGGATCTAAAAGGACCCACCGTTCAGGACACCCACCATTAAAGTGTGTCTACTCACCGCAAACCGTTTTTCGCTCACGGGGGTAGCGTTTTGATAACGTGGGCCACGGCCCGGGTCTCCCCCCTAACCCACGCTCATCCTGCAGGGGGCAGGCTGGAGTCCGATTTGGGCCAGGAGGTTCTGGGTCCACACCCACGTGGTGGCATCTCACGATTGACCATCCGGACGTTACAAAAGAAACCCACGCGTGTAGCCCCCGTGGTCTGAACGTGGAGGAGCTAAACGAGCTCAATAGGTCGTGATTAATGCCACGGTTGGTGGCTGGTTTCTAGCAGGGCGCCCCACGGATCGGTTCTAGGGACGGTTTTGTTCAACATCTTTTTGAATGACCTGGAGGAGGGGATGGATTTCACCTTCAGCAAGTTTGCAGATGACACTAAGCTAGGCGGAGAGGGAGATACGCTGGAGGGCAGAGATCGGGTCCAGAGGGACCTGGACAGATTAGAGGATTGGGCCAGAAGAAATCGGATGAGGTTCAACAAGGACAAGTGAAGAGTCCTGCCCTTGTGACGGAAGAATCCCAAGTATTGGTACAAGCTGGGCTAAGTAGCCGTTCTGCAGAAAAGGACCTGGGGGTTACAGTGGATGAGAAGCTGGCGATGAGTCAACAGGGCGCCCTTGTAGCCAAGAAGGCTAGTGACATATTGGGGTGCATTAAGAGGAGCATATCCAGAGATGTCACTATTCCCCTTTATTCGGCTCTGGTGAGGCCACATCTGGAGTATTGTGTCCAGTTCTGGGTCCCCAATTACAGGAAGGATGTGGACGCATTGGAGAGGGTCCAGCGGAAGGCGACCAAACTGATTCGGGGGCTGGAGCACAGGACCTACGAGGAGAGACTGAGGGATTTGGGTTTGTTTAGTCTGCAGAAGAGAAGAGCGAGGGGGGATTTGAGAGCAGCCTTCGACTTCCTGAAGGGAGGTTCCAAAGAGGATGGAGAGAGGCTGTTCTCAGTAGTGACAGATGCAGAACAAGGAGCCATGGGCTTAAGTTGCAATGATGGAGGTGTAGGTTGGATATTAGGAAAAACGATTTCCCTAGGAGGGTGGGGAAGCGCTGGGATGTGTTCCCTAAGGAGGTGGTGGAATCTCCATCCTTAGAGGTGTTTAAGTCTTGGCTTGGCCAAGCCCTGGTTGGGTTGATTGAGTTGGGTTGGTCCTGCCTTGGGCAGGGGGCTGGACTTGATGACTCCTGAGGTCTCTTTCCACCCTCGGATTCTGTGATTTTACTCTCCTGCTTTGTACCCTAGAGTAGCAGCACCTCCTGCTGGAAGAAGCTGGTACTGCACTAACAGGAAGCTGCTACAGCGTCCTAGCATTTCATGGTTGTTTCGGATGGTTTTGATTCCTGTATCACCCCATTTGTCATTTTTTTCCCCCCCACGGCCTCTTACGTGGCGGTGCCTCAGATTCTTCCGTGTCTGGAGATGCCAGGTGGAGTAGGTGGAGTAGCTGGCTTTTTCCCTTGCCTGGTGCCGTTACCGTAGGAAAATCCGAGACTGAAATGGCAGGAGAAATCACATCGTTTGAGATCACGGTCGGCGGACGAACCTGCCGCAGCCCAGGTAGCAAGACAGCAGTTGGGTACCTCTCCCTTCTCGTTTGGGTTAGTAACACCACTGTCTTCCCACAACCTGCCACTAAAGGCTTCTGCTTAAAAACTCCCCAAAGTCCCCGATTCCCTGCCCTTGGGTGGCACGTTGCCACCACCCCACTGGGAAGACGCCCTTGAGAAGCCAGGAAGATGCCCTCAGCAGTGTCATTTTTAACCCTCCCTCCGGGTTGAAACCAAACGTATTTCTTAATTCCGGTTGCGTTGACACAACCGGGCTAAATTCACAGTCAGCGTCGCAACTTGAGCTACGCCAATGTAGCTTCAGTCGAAATAGCTTCATTCAGCTTTTGTCTACGCAGCAGTAAATCCGAGACGGAACATTCTTCCTCCGAGTTTTCATAAAAATAAGTCGGAGTAAGAAGTGCTCCAGCTGGATGTCATGTTGACACTCTGGGTGTGTCTAGACCACAAAGAAAAGTCGGAAACGGATACGCCTCCTTTTCTGCTTTTCTTCCAAAAGAATCTTTATCCAACATTTGGCCTGCCTACACGGGGTCATATGTCGGGAAAAATCCCTCTTTCAGAACATCCCTTCTTCCTCATAAAACGAGGTTGACAGGGATGCCGGAAAAAACGCGTCTGCTTTTCCAAATTTTTTTTTGGAAAAGCAGACACGTTCCGGGTGACCTCCGGTATCCTGGAAAAACTCTGCCGTCTAGATGTACCCTAAGTTGAATGCTTGTATGTAGACAATGTTGTGTGTAGACTAATTTTGCTGGGTAGATATACCCCCATTCTCTGGCCCATGCACACAGCACCTCCTGCCTTTTAGGACACAGGTATCCTTTCATCCTCTGAAAAAGGTGACAAGTATCAGAGGAGTAGCCGTGTTAGTCTGAATCTGTAAAAGCGGCGAGGAGCCCTGTGGCACCTTATAGACTAAGATTCAGTAGGATGGGGGCTAATTTGGCTACGACAAATCAGGAAAGAGATCTTGGAGTTATCGTGGACAGTTCTCGGAAAACGTCCGCACAGTGAGCAGCGGCGGTCAAAAAGGCAAATAGGATGCTAGGAATTATTAGGAAAGGGATAGAAAATAAGACCCAGAACATCTTACTGCCCCTGTATAAAACTATGGTACGCCCACATCTTGAATACTGTGTACAGATGTGGTCTCCTCACCTCAAAAAAGATATTTTGGCCTTGGAAAGGGTTCAGAAAAGGGCAACTAAAATGATTCGGGGTTTGGAACGGGTCCCATATGAGGAGAGGCTAAAGAGACTGGGACTTTTCAGTTTAGAAAAGAGGAGACTGAGGGGGGATAGGATCGAGGTCTATAAAATCAGGAGTGGTGTGGAGAGGGCAGATAAAGAAAAGTTATTTATTAGTTCCCATAATAGAAGAACTAGAGGACACCAAATGAAATGAATGGGTAGCAGGTTTAAAACTAATAAAAGGAAGTTCTTCTTCACACAGCGTGTTGTCAACCTGTGGAACTCCTTGCCAGAGGAGGCTGTGAAGGCTAGGACTATAATAGAGTTTAAAGAGAAGCTGGATAAATTCATGGAGGTTAGGTCCATAAAAGGCTATTAGCCAGGGGATAAAATGGTGTCCTTGGCCTCTGTTTGTCAGAGGCTGGAGAGGGATGGCAGGAGACAAATCGTTTGATCATTGTCTTCGGTCAACCCTCTCTGGGGTACCTGGTGCTGGCCACTGTCGGTAGACAGGATACTGGGCTAGATGGACCTTTGGTCTGACCCAGTACGGCCGTTCTTATGTTCTTATGTTCTAACTGAAGTGTTGGTGCATAAGCTTGAAAAAGGTGAGTTTATTAACACAAGAAGGAAATCGTGCTGGGTGAAGCATTATAGTGTACGAGGGGGGGGGGAATACACAGGTTCACTGGAGAGTCCAGCAAAGCCCCAAATAAAGAAAATAACATGATGGCATCTAACTAAACATTCCCTGTTCTACTTCCAGCTCTGTGGTTCCAAGGTTTAATCCTTCTTTGGCATGGATGTCGCTGGATAGCCCATGCCTTGATCCTACCTCAATCCATCTCTCCTCTGTTCACACAGGTTGGCTGTGTCTCGACTGGCAAGTTTTTCTGCAAAATCATCTGTTTTGCGGAAAAACTTGCTAGCTGTCTACACTGCCGCTTGAATTTCCGGAAAAGCACTGACGATCTCATGTAAGATCGTCAGTGCTGTTCCGGAAATACTACAAAACTTGCCAGCTGTCTACACTGGCCGCTTGAATTTCTGCAAAAGCACTGACTTCCTACTGTAAGAAATCAGTGCTTTTTGTGGAAATACTATGCTGCTCCCATTCGGGCAAAAGTCCCTTTTGCGCAAAAGGGCCAGTGTAGACAGCTGAGATTTGCGCAAAAGCACGTCTAGATTGGCCACGGACGCTTTTCGGCAAAAAGTGCTTTTGCGGAAAAGCATCCTGCCAATCTAGACGCGCTTTTCCGAAAATGCTTTTCACGGAAAACTTTTCCGTGAAAAGCATTTTTGAAAAATCATACCAGTGTAGACGTAGCCGTTATGTCTAGCCTACGTTATTTTTTGGAAAAAACTTCACCTGGGTCCACACTGCCATCGTGTTCTTTCGAAATTAAATTGAAAGGACGCAGGTTTGTTTTTTGTTTTTTTTTGACATTGACAAACCTCAACTCACGAGGAAGAACGCCTTTTTCAAAAGAGCGCTTTCGAAAAAAGGCGGGTGTGGACAATGCGCAGAAGCATTATTTGAAAGACGAGGCCATCGGAAAAAAGCCCAGGTGCCCTGGTGGCTATGCTGTGAATAGCAATCGGAGTTTTCTTTCGAGAGACGGTCCATGCAGTCTGGCTGCGCTCTTTCGAAAAAGCACATCGCTTTTTCAATCCGGTTTTGAGGTATAGATGCTCTCTTTCGAAAGAGTTCTTTCCAAAAAGTTTCTTTCAAAAGGAGCTTGCACTCTGGACGTACCCACAGAGATGGATTCTGGATTTTTTCCCCCACAATTCAAAAGCCCACATTCTATTTTCATTGGCTGTCCCGGCTTCCTGGCGACGTTCATGGACCCACCGTCACTGGGTTTAAGCCTTGCACGCAAGATATGGCGGGGATCTCCAGTAAAGGATAATACCTTTCCTAGACCTGGAATCCAACCTGTTGCTCTCTTCCCCCGAGCAGCTGTTTTAAAGGGAAAACGTTCAACGGGTTAAAACAGGAAGCTCTTACCTGGAAGAAGGGGGGTTGTCGTTATGTCTCCACCACCACGCACTGCGAAACAGACAACAAAGAGTAAGACCTGGGCCCTTTTCCTGCTCTCCCCCTTAGAATGGAATCTAAGCTCCTCCCACTAGCGAATAAACCCCACCCCTCTATAGGCGGAGCTAGATTGTCCAGCCTATCACCTCCTTACACACCTATGAATAACAGGAAATCAAGTGTGATGCTGGAGGATTTTAATTTGAGCAACGTCTGGTGAAGATTTCATGCTGCCGGTACGAAACGTGCGTGGAATTTCTAACCATCCTAGCCACTGATTTCGTAACAAAAAATGTTGCAGGCAACCCCAGAGAAAGGGGGCGGAGGGAGAGAGAGAGAGGAGAGGAATTCTCTATTAGATCTTGATAAAAAGAAACCGATCGGAGATCTATACGTTAACGGTCGCTGAGGCGACCAGCGGTTACAATCCGATGATTGTAATGTGAAAGCAAAGTCCCGACTCTTAATATAGAATCGGTGCCGTGTTAAGACCCGTTAGGAGGCAAATCAGTTTGGAAGAAGAATTTAATTAAAAAAAAAAAAACGGGAATGATAAACGGGAATCGTTTCGGAACACCTGATTAGATGCCCCACAGGATCGCATAAGAATGGCCAGACTGGGTCAGACCTAAGGGCCAATTAGCCCAGGATCTTGTCTGTGGACAGTGGCCAATGGCAGATGTCCCAAAGGGGGCGAACACAACGGATAATCTTTATGTGATCCCTCCCATCACCCACCTCCAGAGAAACAGAGGCTAGGGACACACTCCTACCCAGCCATTGATGGACCTAACCTCCATGAATCTATCTGGCTCTTTTTTGAACCCTATTCAAGTCCTGGTCTTCACACCATCCTCCGGCGAAGAGTTCCACAGGTTGACTGTGCACTGCGTGAAGAAAAGTATCCTTTTGTTCCTTTGAAAGCTGCTTGTTTCTCTAGTTCCTTTTTTAAGCCTGTTTGAAGCCCTGGCCTTCCCACCCTCCTCTGGCGAGGAGTTCCACAAGTTGACTGTGTGCTGAGTGAAGAAAAACCTCCTTTCATTTCTTTTAAAGCTGCTGCCTATTCATTTCATTGGGTGACTCCTCATTCTTATATTGTGGGAATATGTAAATAACATCGCGTTAGTTACTTTTCCCACGCCAGTCGTGATTTTATAGACCTCTCTCCTATCCCCCCTTAGTCTCCTAAGCTGAAAAATTGAAGTCTTTTAAATGTGGACCTGTTCCAAACCCCTCATCGATTTTGTTGCCCTTTTCGGAACCTTTTCAAATGCCAAGATATCTTTTTGGACATGAGGAGAGCACAGCTGCACTCAGTATTCACGATGTGGGCGTCCTAGGGTTTTATACAGAGGCAATAAAATATTCTCTGTCTTATTCTCCGTCCCTTTTTTAATGATTCCTAAATCATTCCTATCCCAATCTCGAAAAGAAGGCCAGTCTTTTTTTTAAACGAATTTAATGGGGATGTGAAGGGAGCGATACAAAATAAAAATATACGTGGCGCTAATGAAAGAAAGTAATGAATCGAAATCAGAAATCAGGAATTGTAGATCATTGATAAGGGAATTCAAAGGACGCTGTCCATGGCAGAGGTAAGAAGACTAAAAAGGCGTTTTAAAGCTACGGGAAGAGCATAAAGAATCTGAGAATGGCATTGGTCCGTTACACGTTGGATAATTATCAATAATAATGGAGAAAAGGCGGGGGAAGGGTGGAGGATGGGTTTCCTTCCTCTTCCCTCCTACCTGCACTGGGCATGTTCCAGTAGCTGTTTCCCCTATAGGACGGCTATCTAGGGATGGCCTCTCCCCACCTCTAGCAGTAGGGGGTTAGCAAAACACATCTAAGAAAGAACAAACGTAAAGTCTCCAGTGCCGGTTGGGGGCCCCTGGGTCTGCCTGGCGTCGGGGTTTGCTCTGACTCACCTTGATCTAGGTGATGTGAACCCTCCAGTGCTCCCCAAAGATAAGCCCCGGGGAGGACACTACCCCTCCCTCCCACTCTGTCCCCCCCATGCAGCCACTTCTCGCCCTCTGGGCCTTGCCCTGAGCTTACATCTTAGAACCAAATGGACGACGCAGCCATCGGTCAGCCCCGAGCGCCGCAGGGTCCAGTCATTGTTCAGCTGTCTGCCTGGATTTGAGGCTATCAGACGCATCTGGTCGACCGGAGTTCCTTCTTGGGCCTCGATCTTCCTCTTCAGATCCAGCACGGTCTCGTCCAAATACACGTCCACCGACAGAGTCTCGCCCGTGAGGGTTTTCACAAAGATTGTAGCTGCAGATTTCCCCGGGCGGGTTGGCTCCATGCTGGGTCACCCGGCTGTGCTCAGATCCGGGGGGTGGCTTTCTCCGAGCCCCCCTGCTCTGGATTCTGGGCTGTGTTCTGCCCCCCAACGAGGGCGAAGGGATCCCCGGGCCCCGTCCGCCTTCTCTCCCGTCCTGCTCCCCGGACCCGTCACTTCCTCAGAAAACGAAACTGCTCGTTGGCCGGCTGCCCGGGACTGGGTGCGTCCAGGGCTTCAAAACAAAACTCCCGAGGCTGCTGGATTTCCTCCTCCGTGGCGGGGCCCCCTTTCAGTGCCCCCTTCTCAGGTTAACCCCTCATCGCCTGCCTCTGCCCCCCAGAGGCTGGCTGCTTCTCTCTCGCTC